ATAGAAGATCTACATGGCAATAAAATTGACTTCATATTCTACTAATTAAATCTATCTAAAATTTTACCCGTCACAACGTATCCTCTTAATTTAATTATCATCGACTCTATAAAAAGAATATCCAGAATTTAACAGGTAAATGTATTGAAATAATAATGTACAAATTCAAACATTTCCATTATCTGGAATATTTTTCAAATCTTAGTGAATTCTGGACATTCATTTTGTCTGAAAAATGTCGTTGTCTAGAATTTCAATGTTTGATTTCTTTAGAATGCAAAATTGGATATTTTCAGACATTTTTCAGATAATTTCCAGATATAATCCTGTTTATCAGACATTTTTGAGATATTTTTTAGATATAATTATTTTTCCAAATGTATTTCATTTTTCTGAATATTTTTAGATACTTTTATTTGGTACTTTTTTTTATAAAGTGTAGTAATTTTATGATATACATTTATATTGATACAGTATTTAATAAATTACACAAATAAATACAAAAAAACTTAGAAAATTAATACAGTTATGAAAAGCTATTATTTAACGAATATTAAAAATATTGAGATGAAATTTATATATAAGTAATATTAGATAAATAGAACATTTTTACAGTAAGCAGTTTACTTTAACTAAAGTGATCAAATTAATTTGTGAAGTCAAAAAAATATAACTTATTTAGTAAAATTACAAAAAAATTTATTTATATATGAATATTAATTCAATTAAGATAAAAAAATTAGATATAAATAGTATCGAATCTGTAGATCAACTTTTCTTAAAAATAAAAGGTGATTGACTTTAACTAAAGTATTCAAATTATCCTGTGAAGTTAAAAAAAAGGTTTACATTATTAATAAAGTTACTAAACATATATTACAATATGAATATTAATCTAATTAAAATTAAATTTTATATGCAAATAGTATCGAACCTGCTGAAAAACTTTTACTTAGAAATGAAAGATACTTTACTTATACCAAAGTGCTCAAATTTCCTTTTAAAGTCAAAAAAGTATGGCTTATTTAGTAAAATTACAAAAAAAAATATTACTGTATGAATATTAAACTAACTTTTGATGAAAAATTAGATATAAATAGTATTGAACCTGCTGAAAAACTTTTACTTAGAAATAAAAGATACTTTACTTTAACCAAAGTGCTTAAATTTTGTCATGAATTCTCTATATTAATGTTTATAAAAAAAGATATAAAAATTAAAATTTACATAAAAAAAAAATAGATTTAATAAGAGTTCTTACAAGTTCAAGTATTTAAGTTTAAAAAATAATTTTTTTATAGATTATGTTAAATAAAATAAAAGTGTTTTTTGTTAAAAAAAAAAAGAAAATTGATTATCAGTATATTACAGGTCAAATGATAAAGAATCAGAATGATACCAGCTAGTTAAGAATCAGGATTAAATCAGTTCTGATTTTTAACTGGCTGGTATTTTTTTATCAATTAATAATCAGAATCCTGATAAGCCAATGGCTTTTACCCTATAAAAGACTGACTATTCTAAAGACATATCAGAGAATATTATACAATAAATTATATACCTTCCAATATTCTGATAGTTAATATTAATGATTTTACGATTATCTATTAAGAGATATAGGTAAAATATCAGTATTTTATTTAAATAACTACTAAAGTTTTAATATTGAAGAAAAATTCATATGAATTTTATTAAAAGCAGAAAAAATAAACATATCAGTTCAACTAAATATTATGATTTAATTATTTGTTTATTGTAAAAATTGCATAGCGCAGTATGATATATTAAATATGAAATTTTCTATTAATCAGTATTACTATCATATATTTTCAAAGATTTCTTTTGCCTACTAAAAAAGTACCTTCGACAAATTGACCTAATATGTTATATACAGGAATAATACAATCTCTACTAATGTTATAAAACTCTTTCTTCCATAATTCAATATTGCAAGAACTAATATCATTATTAATTTAATAATAGAATCTAGTCTTATGATCTTCTGCTGGAAAATACCATCTCACAAATGCTAATGAATGTTTTTTAAATTCTTTTAAGTTCAAAAAATACACAGTATGTTCAAAATAATATTAAACAATATCAGGATAAGTATCCTTAGAATTGTCATTAATAAATTGTGATAATATCTTAGCCAAATTGATATGCTTTTTCAAATATATTAATCCAAAAACTTTAACGTTAAGTTGTAACTTCTCATAAATATTTACTTTCAGAAATATTGGGATAGCATTAGATTGCATGATATGAATATCAAACAAAGTCACAAAATCTTCATTATAAGCATTGCGATAATATTTAACTAACAAATCTAATATTTCCTTCGTAAGGTTTGTTTCTATATTTTTTGGATTAAGAAAATTGCCCAGAAAGGGCTCTGAACTTGTTCTTACTCTTTCTTCTACATTTTTAGACATTTATAAGAATTCTAGGTAGTCTATTCCATTAAATTCATCTTGAACTGCAAGACTACCAGTAGCTACTTTAGGTATTATTAATAGTAAGCAAGCTGATAAATGTGTATAGTCTTAGATATGTGATGAAAACTGGTCAAGAAGAGAGTTATGCCGAATCATTTTCAATAATTCCAGTTTAATTCTTCTATTATTAGTATGATATGAGCCTGTCAGACAAAATAAAATACTTCAATATTATAACAGTGTATATTAAATAATAATTAATAAAATATAAGAGCATATATTTACCCAATAAACCATTCATTTGTTCATAACTAAAGCATCAAAATACATATAGTAGACCATAGTCTAATATATATTGACAAATATGTAAGCATAAATGTAAATTTAATATAATTTTTTCCAGTTTATAATTCTTTTTGATAAGCTTTACCATTGTTAAAAGGCACTGGTGAGCTTCATTTAATCCATTTTTAGATATCATTCTATATACAAAAATGTTATACGCACAGACAAAATTTGCAAGAATCATTCTATCTGTTTCTTGAAGTAAATCCCATGTAATAGAAATGGCATATACCAAGATAAAAGTCTTTTACTAGTTTGTAGTAAAACCTGAAAAATCCTCTTTAGTTGAAATTTTATATGGAATTCTACTGATATTAGCTGGAACCTTTATCTGCTTTGTCTATTCTGCATCATATCTAGGTTCTTTTGTGTTAATCACTCTTCTTCAATCCATAATTGCATCACTATCCATTTAGCAATACTCAAGAACAAACAATGCATAGGATCTATTATAAGGAATCATACAGAATCAAAATACTAGAGGTGGTATACTTCAGATCAATGTACCAAGGTTTTGCAAACATGGATTTTTCTAGCATTTTTTATATTGCAATCCAACCACCTGTGTGCATTTTTTCAAATCTGACTGATATCTCTTTCAATAAACCAATCATTAATATCAGAAAATCCTCTGAAATTAGGTTAATTACGATCATCATATCGAGCCTTTTTAAACATCTATAGCAAGCAAATATGCAGATATATGATCATATAATTTTTTGTGACAGGGATGTTACAAGAACAGCATATTACTGTAACTTAAATGGTCTTATCATTAGAGCTTTCATATATTGCTAATAACTCTATTCCATTTTATAATTCAATTAATTGATCAATTATTGGAGCTAAGTAATGGTTTAAATGATGCAGACTCAACTCGTTTGGATCAGAAATCAAAGCCATTGTTAAAATATTTGATGGCTTAAATCTTTCATTTCAAGGGAGATTACAGATTACACTATATATGGCTCTAACACTGTAATTAGTATTATCAAATGGTTAGAACCAATCAAGGTTCAACATAATACCCAAATGATGATCTGATACTTCTTTCCAAAATAATGGTAAATCTTAGTTTAAATTTTAGAAGTCCTTCGAAATTCTTTTATCGTAGATATTATTTAGATATTGGGAATCATTACATCAATTGGCCTATTTCTTGCATAATTTTTTAAATCCCTTCTAATTGTACATTAATTGTAATTAATGTTTTAAACTGACTGTTGGAAATACCATAGAAGGTCTATGTATTATTCCACCTGTGATAGAAACTTTCTTGGTAAGATTGGAGCTATATTTTTCTCTTTAATTTGCTATTGGATGATTCAAAAAATCTACATAGGTATATTGGCTTGTAGTTGGAACTTGACTAGGTTTATCAGTTAACATTTCTGCTATATTATACAATTTGCAGCATTTTTTATATGCAGTGTATTTGATAATATGAGCACAAACACCAAGTTCTTTACATACTATATAATGATATAGAAAAAGATGTATATTTATTCATATCCAATAGAATCAAAAGATATTTAATAAATATTACCAAAGAATTAGTAGCCACATCAGAAAGTCAGTACCTCTCTTAATATAACAAATTCTATAATACAATTCAATTAGAATCTTTGCTATAATCAATAATAGGTACTTCTAGAGCATTTTCATTACCATATACATTTTCTGGTACATTGAACCCGCTGGATAATATTTCTTCAATATCATTATCATCCTGATATTCTTCACTATTAACTTCGCTACTGTCACTTTTATTATCATTATTGTTATCTGAAATATCCTATTTAATAACAACTACTGGATTAAAAATATTATTACTAACTCTTTACAAATTATTTTTTGATTGTTTTTTAAGAAGAAATAAATAATTTTCTTCATAAGGAACTGGTTCAGTTTCTTGATTATTATTAAATAATATATCAACAACGTCTGAAAAATCAATCAATATATCTTGTATTAATGAATCCTGATTTAAATCTATAGGTATATCATCGATAATTCCTCTTGGCCTAATATCCTATTTTGATTCATGACTTTTTTTGTACGTAGATCAACTATCTGACCTTTGCATTTATTACAATTACATGGAACCTTCTTTATTTTACTGAAAGAATCAGATGGATTACTAGAATCCTTCACAAAAGATTTTTTAGTTTTACAATGTTTTTTTGAAAACATTGTAAATTCAATAAATTTATTATAAAAACTAATAATCAAATAAAGATCATAATGTAATTGTTACCAAATAA